TAGGTGCAATGGATTCTAGATTCTATAGATCCTTGGATCTATAGATCCTAGGTGCCATGGATCCTAGATTCTATAGATCCTTGGTCCCTTAGATCCTATGTGCAATGGATCCTAGATTCTATAGATCCTAGGTGCCATAGATCGTAGGTGCCATGGATCCTAGATTCTATAGATCCTAGTTGCCATAGATCCCAAGTGCCATTGATCCTAGATACTATAGATCATCACTACTAAATAGTGTACTGGCAATTAATAGCAATTAATAGTAATTAATGAATAGCAATTGACAGTAATTAACGAATAGCAATGAATAGTAATTAATGAATAGCATTTAATTAACTAAATAATTAAAAGTCTGCAGTAGCGATTTCCCGCGCAACGGTTTCCCGAAATGCTCGCGTCTATTTTGAATTCACGGACTCCCGACTCCCCTCTCCCGACCCAGGCGGCATCGATCCCCAAATATACCGCAGAAACGCGTTCTGCTCTCCCGGTGGGGCGTCGCGACGCCCGCGCTTTTTCGCGCGACGCCGCGCGCCAGATCCACGATTCGCTCTCCTACGAACCTGATAACGGGGGCTGCTCGCAAGCAACCGTTTCGATGCTTCGTCTTAATGAAAGCTCGATCGGCCGAGCTTTTCCTCCCCCCTCGATCCTTAACCCGCGAAAAGGAGCAGCGTCGCGACGTTTCCAAGCGACGACTGGGCGTCGCAAAAGTTCTTACGAAGGAGGTCCAACAACTCCTCTCGCTTCCACTCGACCCAACGCGCGTGTTTATCGCGTCTCTATTCCTGCTCGATATCTCCCCCCTCGTCCCGTTATTTTTCACACTCCTCTTCTATTTCCAGGTGCTTCGTTACCGTTTCGTTATCGGCAGCGGTTTCGATGTACGACGGGCCTCGTGGTTCCCTGATACGCGCAACGACGCGTCCTTTATCGGCGCACGACCCGCGCTTTTTATTTATTTCTGTGCGGGGCATGTGCAGCACTGGTCAATCGCAACCACGTATGTGTAAGACCGATGAATAGGCAAACACGTATGCCTAAGGACTCGGGATCTGCGCGAGCAAGACCTGACCAGGAAAAAATGTAAACAGTCCGACAGGACAATGTTACAGGATAAGTGTAAACGGCCCGTTAGGACCGCGCTCTGTAAATAAAGATAATTGAATTTTACTTTAGTACAAGCCAATGCAGCACGGTACGTACGTAGGATAGAACTAAATGAAGATACAGAATAATACAGAGTGATGCGAGTCGAAGCAATGTAGCGATGGAACGGTGTAAATATAGGGTGACCAGCTGTGCCTCGCAGTTTCACCCAAGAATTACTGTTGCACGAATATACTATTCATTTTATGTCGTCTGCATTCGATCGTGTGCTCCTTCGTGAATCGGTAGGTGACTGTCTTTTGTTTTCCGTAACTCGGATTTTTAAATTGATATTTTTGGTAGATCAAGATCATAGAAGAGAAAATCGAACAGTTGAATTTCGAAATATGCTTGTGTGCGTCATTAAGGAAGCGTCTGTGCGAAATTTCAGCTTTCTAGGTTCAAGGGTTTAGCCTGGACGTTGACTGTAATCAGTCAGGTCTTCGTTCTTACACGTATACATGATGTATACGGTATAAATGAAAACACCAACGATGTGAAATGTATTGAAATATACTGAAATATCAGTGATGTGAAATGTAGATATTATAAATACAGATAGTATATAGATAAAGAATGATAGAAGCCAATGCAACGTACTTGGACACGATACAACGTACAGAAATGTAGCATAATACATCCCTGATCGTTTCTCATCGTCCGAAGAAGCTTATATATATATAACATAGATTCTAAATTCTATAGATCCTTGACTCCATAGATCCTAGGTGCCATAGATCCTATGTGACATAGATCCTAGATTCCATAGATCCTAGGTGCCATGGATCCGATGTGACATAGATCCTAGGTTCTATAGATCGTTGGTTCTATAGATCCTAGGTGCAATGGATCCTAGATTCTATAGATCCTTGATTCTATATATCCTAGATGCCATTGATCCTAGATTCTATAGATCCTTGGTTCCTTAGAACCTAGGTGCAATGGATCCTAGATTCTATAGATCCTAAGTGCCATGGATCCTAGATTCTATAGATCCTTGGATCTATAGATCCTAGGTGCCATGGATCCTAGATTCTATAGATCCTAGATTCTATAGATCATTGGATCTATAGATCATTGGATCTATAGATCATTGG